CTCAGCATCATGTCTTTTCAATTGGTATAAAGACATTCTGTGCAGAACAGACAGTTTATGAGTATAGATAGATAATTATATAAAAATTAGATAACCATCTGAAAGAGATGCCTGTTTTTATGGATGATCAACTTTAGATTATTTTTTCATTTCACATTCTTGCTTGTTTAAACATTTTCTTCAAGAAAAAAACATTTGCCTCTATTTATAATGCAAAATGAGAATATTATGAGATTTCTTTTTAAACCCTTGATAATCTTATAAAGTATTTACAGTGATACAGCCATATAACAAACAAAAATAGAACACACACACACACACACACACACACACACACACACACACATTTGAAGACAGATTACATGGTCTCCCGGAATGATAATTTGATGTGCATCGCAAACCTATATTTCTTATGGTTTAATATTTTAATATGTAGTTTTTGAATTTCTGTTTCTGTTGTTCTTGATTCAAGTAGAATTTAAATCTGAAGAAGAAAGTTACTGAGAAATTTCTTCCCAAACATCACTTGAATTTACTTTTCTTATAAAATAAAAAGTACAGGCATGAAAGGAGCAGTTTTTTATATAAGCAGAGAAGAGGTAGTTTTTAGTCTGTAAGGAGATTGAGTAATTTTTTACAAAGTTAAAATTAAGTACAAAGTATAAAGTTAAGTATGTTATCTAGGATACTTCATATTGTTTTAAATGTGAAGGATATTTAGTCCTTGGGCCAAGATAGGCTGTATGTGGCTTTCTAAGGAGAGGCAAGCTTTCTTTCCCCTTGGGGTGAAGGGTCACAAGTGGATATAATCATGCACTGGGAATCTCAATGAACGGTTTGAAAAATGCTGATGTTTATCCAACAACTTAGCTTTAGGTATGAGATGAATGATGGATCTGAAGAAATCTTCTAATTCTTTTTCATGAACATCTTATTTTATGGTAATGTTTATTTGTTCCTTTCTTTGTTCATGAGAAAAATAGTCAGTACCTTGTAATTGAATCATTGTTTTCAGCAGGAACACTAAAAGCTGTACGCAAACTACAGGCCAAGTAAAACACGAGAAATAATTTAACAGCTGCTTTATATTAACAGACAGGATTCTAATGACTCATTTCTAATGACAAGTTAAATGGAAATTATACAAAATAAACAGTATTTATTTTTAAAGTACAACTATAGCGTGGTTACAAAGGCCTGATGCATGCCAGCTCAAATTTATTGGTGTTCTTCTTATTCTTTGCACTCATTTTATTTTTCTCATTTTCCTCTGTACCTGATCTTCAAGTTGAAGGCTTGACATCTTTAAAGCAGTGCCTGACATAGAATTTTATTTCTTTCATTATTGTCAGACCACAATCTTGTACCTCAGTAAGATAGAGCAACTGTATGTACATACTCATTTCTCAGGATGCTTTCCCTTATATAACCATTCTTTGATTTATAATTTCAATATGTAGAGACTAATCTGACTTGAACCAGAGACGTATATGGAATATTATATGACTATAGTATTTGCAACATTTGCATCAAAGATTTTTTTTAAACTTATGATTTTCAATATGTATTTTAATGACTAAAATAAGTTCAAATATGTGTGCCTTTCTACTATATAATAAGAACTACTGTTAGTGACTGGATATCACTCTTAATATATGAACATGTGAATCTGTAATAGCCATTAAAAAACTAGACAAAGAAAAAGTTGTAAAACTTGAGTTTGTATTATTTAAACATTTCTCCATTTAGTTAATACTAGAGGCCTAGTGCACAAAATTTATGCACTGGAGGGTGGTCCCTCAGCCCGGCCTGTGCCCTTTCACAGTCCAGGAGCACTTGGGGATGTCCAACTGCCACGGAGGAGGGAGAGGTTCTCACCACTGCTGCTGTGCTCACCAGCCATGAACCTGACTTCTGGCTAAGTAATGCTCCCTTTGTGGAAGCACACTGACCACTAGGGAGCAGCTCCTAATTGAGTGTCTGCTCTCTGGTGGTCAGTACACATCACAGGAACCATTGGCTGAATGTCCCCCCATTCAGTCAATTTGCATATTAGCTTTTTAATATATAGGATGTAGTTATTTGATACCTACTATATTTAAAACACTGAGATAAGGACTGAGAACATTGAATAGAACAGATATAATCCTTTTGCTAGTTGATTTATATTTTTAACCAGAGAGATAGACATTAAACATTAATCCAGGTGTTATTTCATTGTATTTGTGAAAGCTGCTTTGCAATACAAGGACAAGGTGTTCAGATACTAGACAACAAAGGTTCTGGCTAAACTCTACATGGTAAGGGCAACCTTGAAGAAAGTCTTAAGTTTGTGATAATGTTCTAGGAGGTAAATGGAATAGCCACGCCTTATGTCAGGAAGGAAGAATGGTGGAATTGCAGAACTAAATAAAGGACATTGGAGTTGGAGTCCAGAATGCTTATCATGTTATACAAGCTCTGCTTCATCTTGTTTCATAAATCTGGCCCTTCCCCTGACTTATAACATGTAGTTGGTAAATTAAGCCATATAATTGTTGGGATTTTTTTAGAGATGGTTAATAAAAATAATTAGATCAATAACAAAACCTTGAGAAACACCAGTCAATGGAAACCAAGAATGAGTAGTCAGAGAGGTAAGAGGGACACCAGAAACAGGAAAGGGAGTGACAAGACATGCTAAATGCTGCAGAGAGATAACAAGGTAATGTCTGACGTCTGGTTTGAGAAGTAGGATGGATGCTGCATAGAGAAAGAAGGGAAAAGAGCCTCGAGGGCTGGTGGATTTAGAGAAGGCATGGCAATAAATTTATAAACTCATGGTGAGCAAAGGACTTACTTTTTTGTGGGCTGTGGAGGAGTCAAGTGTAAACTAGTGTAGTTGTTTGGTTCCAGGAAATACCAACACTCAAACTGTGACTTGAATTGTCACTGGAAGTGGCACCAGAATCCCTTCCTTTGCCATTAGAAAAGGAATTGGAGAATTATGTAATTCTCTGCTTAAACAATTTAAGAAATTCTGTTTGAAAGATTTAGAGCTTGAGGACTATGTGACTGCTATTTGTATTTTCACCCTGCAGCCAGTATCTGGGATAATATAGATAAACTAGTAGTCCATTTGCGCGTTAGCATGTGCAGTAGGCCGCCCACTGCTTCTGCAGGAGCTGGTGGGAACCACAGCATGCCGCAGGGAGCCATGCTGCTTCCACAGTAGCCAGGATGGACCCGCACCAGTTCTGTGGGAGGTGGGAAGGACCCATGTTGCTGCTTTTGGAGGTGGGCCCGCCATCTCCTCTCCGGGCCTGTGGTTGGCCGCCTCCCCTTCCCCAGAACTGGGGGACTCCAGCAGGGCTGAGAGGATGGCGCCACCATCTTGTGGCTATGGGCACTGCCATCTTTGTGACAGAGTGATGGTTAATTTGCATATTACCCTTTTATTAGATAGGATGGCTGTTGATGTTCTCATTATCTATTGCCACACAGTGCTCCTTACTCACCAAAAAGACTTAATGCATACATCCAAAAACAGTTATTTAGTTCATGAGGCTATGGAGTTCAGCTGACCTAGGCTGGATTTGCCCAAATGCCTGGGGCTCCTCTGGCTGTGATTGTCTCATCTTGGATAACTGGGATAACCTGAGTCTGCTCTCTGCCCTGGTCAGCATACAGCAGGCTGGTCTAGGCATGTTCTTATGGCATCGTGGAAGAATAAGAATGAGAAAAAACAATTATGCAAACATCTTTCAAGTCTCTATGTTAATGTGTCAATATTCTCCAGGTCCAGAAGAAATCACATGGACAAGTCAAAAGTCAAAGTATGAGAGCACTGAAAAAAAAAATGACAAGGGCAGGTCCTGGATACATAGAATGGTAAAGAATTGGGGCCATAACAGTAACCACCCACCACACTGAATGAATATATGAATTATTGGATTATAGAAAAGTACCAGGAGCATTGGACTAAGGGTCAGGAGACATGTCCCAAAAGCTCAGCACTGTTGATTTTGTTAATTTGGGTGAATCATGTAATTATGCTGGACCCTAATTTTTTTAATGGTCTTTTCCAATCTTTAAAGCCTTTGATTCAAGCTTTCAATGAAATTTTTAATGAATTTAATGCTATACACAATCTGTAGGAGGAACTTGAGAAAAGTTGTTCATTATGCCATCCTTTGGTAAATCAACATGGCTATGCAGATAACCCAAAATGGGTAATTATGACTTTGTGAATCTTTGAATATTTTGTAATCACATTCAAACTGAAAAATCTCTAGTTGGAATTTGAGTATGGAACATAATGCTGAAAGTTCACTTTCTTTTTAGGTCTTTAATTTTGGTTCCTATTTGATGATTCCTTTGAAGTATACAACATACTAGTACAACATCAAACACTGAATGCCATCTCATATGTGAGATGAGTTTTTGGGTTTATTGCTGTTACACTTTAATAATTCATTGTTATGATGAATTATTATATTTAAATTGACTGGAAGAACTTTGTCAAGTTTGCATAATACTGATACAAGTGTGATTTATTTTTAGGCAGATGTTATGATTTGTTTTATAGAAAGAATAACAATAATACAGAAGTGAAATCTCTTCATTATACAGTGTGCAGTTATGCAATATATAATGAAATGCAGGATTATTTACTATAGGGATAAAAAAAATTTGAGAAAAAATAGTCTACATGAAGAATGTAAGATTCACAAGAAGAAGGTAATATACACAAATGGCCTTTGGAAATGACTTTCCACGTCTGAGATGACTTCTTATTCTAGTCACTTCAAGTGCCACAAAACTTCCACACCTAGGTTACCAAAATATATGGATGAAAATGTAATTTGTAACTCCCTTTGACACATAGAATGTTCTGTTCCAGATATAAGAAATAACTTGCCATTTGATAAATGTTTACCCTTGTCATATCCCTGGGAAGCATTTATTTTGGACTGATAATTTACTTGTAAAATCAATCACTCTGGCCTCTCTCATTTCAGAGTCTCCATGTAGATATATCCAAGAAACTTCATTCCCATCAAGATGGCCTGAATTCAAAAGTACCAGTTGGTTGTCAAAATGCTTTGGCTGATCTGGAGAAAGAGAGAAGCAAGAGTGGAGCAACGGCAGTAGCAGGCACCGATGGAACCACAGGTCGTTAGCCACATGATGTGGGTTTTGACCACCTAGATGACAAATGCATAATATACAGATTCTTACTACGATTTTTTTTTGGAATATATAATTCAGACATAGTGACTGTCTGACCTGTAAATCTCATTGAAATATAGTTTAAGTGCAGCATAATATTGAACACTCACCCTAATGCTAGGTCTCTTCATTGTTTTTCATTAGATTTTTCTCACTTACATGGCCATGGAAGTACTTTATCCTAATACTGCTTGTATTATCATGACATTTTTAAATTTTTGATAGGATTAAGAAGGATTAATGTCTTGAGGTGAGGTTAACATAATTGCAATGTTTCCGTTTAAAAAATCTTTAGCTAAGTAATCTAGTACAGACTTGAAATATCACAGATTGGTTTATAGAAAGGTTGATCTGATAGTTTTCACCTCTCGTGAAAGCAGAACAGGAGCAAATGGACTTGTGGAGTGGGGGATAGCATTAAATTAAGCCACCCAGACTAACTTCCATATTGTGCAAACCTGAGATGAGTTAGCCAGGGAATTATTTTAGGCACACCAAAGCAGCTCAATATCTATTACACGTTATCTTTGAAACTTTACACTGCAGTTTGTAAGAAAAATGAAACTGTAATTATTCTTAAGCATATGGTTTGTTTCTTCTCCCTCCTTATCTGGTTTTGTAGTGAGCGCTCTTTCTCCCTCCAAGGGCATGTAAAAGTCACACTACTAGATAAGAAGTCTCTGCAGTGTTGCTGCTGAAACTCTGTACAATCTGTTCTTTCATGTAGTTAGCTTACTGGCTTCTGACACTCCCATAAAAATACCCCATGGAGCTTTTCTTATTACCTTTTCATTGACTCTCTTCGGGTGATAAAAATGAAATTCTGTAAAGGGCTTTGAAAACCATGCATATTGCCATTTCTCCAAGTTTCAAATACTAACCAAGTACAACTAGACAAGAAACAGCTACTACAGTGAAAATTGCTGCAGTCTGCTGAGTCTCAAGCCATTATTCATTTATAGGAAACTATATTTCCCCCCTAAGATGAGGGTCCTAAAAATTACCAGATAACACATTCCTGGGATCAAAGCTTTTGTTTCAGTTATAAAAAAACTTGTCTGACCTATCACTGTGTGTGCATCTTCCTGGAATAGGGCATTGCAGCCCCTGCTTTGCAGCCTGAATGAATAGTTCAGAGTATATCACAGATCAGAGCAGCCCCTGCCTCAGACACACTGCCTGCAAGAGACGATTTAAGGGACAATGTCCTTGAATTAAGTTATAGGTTCTAGGCAAGACTGTGTAATTTTATTCAAGAGAGTAAAATGAACCCTTAATTAGGTTAGGTAATCTCAACATGCATTTTTTCCCCCCCAGAAATCATTTAGTATGCTCATCTGGGCAATATTTTCATTTGCTATCCCATTTGTAATCACAATACATTACAGAGTCGGTCTCCATTATGAACTAGAGTGGTGTGACGATTCCATATGTGAAAACGCAAAAGTTAAGTAAAGCAGGAATATTATTCTTCAAATGTCATTTATCTCATGTAATATAGACTATTTTTCTTGGTTTAAAATATTATAGAAAGACTCATTGTCTCTCTACTGAGCATTTACCAGACTTGGAATGAATTCTCATCTCTGAAGAGTTACCACTGTGAAGTTCAGATGGGCAAATGGCATCCTTTCTGAGCTTTCCTCTCTTTTTACTACTTAGGCACAAGTCAGTCATTTCCTAAACTGCCTCTGGTGAGAGTGCCAGTTTTAGAATCTTTGTAAGCATAGGAAAAAAAAAAAAAAAAAAGCTTTATTAAGACAGCGTTTCTGCTTCTGTAGTTTTACTCCTTCTGGACACCTATGTCTTTTTCTGCCAGATAGGTGAAGTGGAACCACTTAGAATGTGTATCTAATAATTTCTCTAATAGGAATTCCTTATTTCGGAATTGAATGTAAACACCTGGGTGTTTTACGGCCAATGCACGTGTGTCAACGAGAGTTTGGCTGTTGCAGCCAGGAGGACAGCAAAGTATATATGCCCCAGTCAGCCCTATCCCCTTTTACAGGACTCTGATGGAAATGACTCCCCAGACCGCCTGGATGACCTCCCTCAGTGGGTCCTTCATTCACTCTGGTTGCTTGGCGATGCCCACGTTTTATTTTAGGAGCACTGTTATTAAGTCTGCAGGTTGTTTTGTCCATAAATTACTAAGAGAACAGTTCTCTGAAAGTAGGATGATTAAGTGGTTAACCTTTGGAGTCTGAACTCAGACTGCTGGGATTAAATCTTGTCTGTCCCACTCGCTAGCTGTGTACCACAAGCAATTTGTTAGTGTCGCCATCTCTTTATTTGTAAAATTCGGTTAATAACAGTGCTACACCATAAGCTCTTTCAAAAGCTGCATTGGATAAAATAGGTTAAAGTTGGTATAGAACACCATAAACTCCAATAGAGTCCTAGCTATTTTCACTAACTTCAGCATCTTTATGAGTTGATGGCTAAGAAAAACTTTGCTTCCTGGCAATATGTTCTGCAAGGTGCTGGTTAAGACCTCCTCCTGTGCCTCTTACTGTCTATCAGTTTCTATCTGTATTCTTTCCCTTTGAGAACCGTATCCCAATGGGAATTTCATGGCCTCTATGGATCCTATGGGCATGAGATGAGATTAGAAATCTTCTGGAGATGAGTCACTGATTCCTGAGTGGACAAGAAATGCTGTAATCGTGCAGAGACCAGGAGGCCCCGAAACTTCCTAACGGACCCCTTTCCCATCTTACCCCTGCGGCAGGGAGAGCAGAGGCTTCACCAGTGCCATTTTTTTTTTTTTTTTTTTTTTTTTTTTACTGAGAGGAAGGGAGAGGGTTAGAAAGTCAGAAACATAGATGAGAGAGAAACATCGATCAGCTGCCTCCTGCACACCACCAATTGGGGATGTGCCTGCAACCAATGTACATGCTCTTAATTGAACCCGGGACCCTTCAGTTCACAGGCTGACGCTCTATCCACTGAACCAAACTGGTTTTAGCCACTTGTGCCATTCTTGCTGAGTGATGTATGTTAAGTGCAGATGTTTGTTTTAAACCATTTGTTGCATGGCCCGTTCCCAGGGTAAACTTGCGTGAGAAAACTTATTGAGGAGAGCTCTCAGGAACAACACAAAAGGCAGAGGAACTAAAGCAGACCTAGGTACAGGTAAAGTTAAAAGATAGTGAAGTCACACTAAAGACCTCGGCTGATCCCACTGGGCGCTCTGGAACTGGCATGGCTCTTCAGAGTTGTCCTGTGTTGGGGTGAGGGGACCAGGCCTTTATAGCTCCTGATTCAGTCGGTCATTGGATGCAGATGCCCCTGAGGAAGGGGCATGGCTGTGGGCAAGGTGACTTCCTTCAGCCACGAGCAGTCCTTTGGTATCAGAGGATTAGCAGTCAGTTGTGAGGAGAATGTGATTATCATGTAGGCCACTCACTAATGCAGTGGTTGCTTCTGGTGACCTGACTTGCTCAACGGGATGCTAAATCTTTTTAAAAATGCCTATTTGGTTTTGCCCTGCATAAATGTTCTCTACTGAACAAATTTTATACTTCCCTAATCAACATTCTCTAATGGAACTTCCTTTCTTTTGAAGCTACAACTATGTTCTTCTAATTATTCCTACATCTTTAAGCTAAACTCAAGACTCATCCTCCATAAATTAGACTTGCCAAGTAGTGAGAACCCTAGGTGAGAAAATAGAACACAGCTACTCTAAGGTCTAGTCCCAGCTCTGCCCAAACTAGATGGGTGGCCTTCCACAAAATATTTCACTTTTCTGAGTTATATTTTCCTCACCAAAATAGGACGTGTGCCAGGTCATTTTTATGCCCCATCAGTTCTTAAAATGTTACTTGTATGGCCTCATCTGATATCTCAGAGTGATGCAGCTGTTGCTCATCTCTATGTAAGGCTCACGTGGAGATGATCCCACATCTGTGAACACACTTACTGTGGTAAATTAGTCAGGTGAAGGGAAAGGCGCTCCATGGAAAAACTCCGTTGAGGTCAAGGAGGGACCTAGAAATAAATGGATCAACAGGAAAACAAAGAAGTCTTTATATTGAGTTTTAAATTAATCCTAATGCTAAATTTCAGATTTTACTTCTGTGATGGGAAACAAAACACAAGGCAGTTCCCCATCAGGATTATTATGAGAATTAGACGAAGTGAGGATTTTGTATTAAAGACCTTAGCCAAATGATTGAATGTATGCTCTAAAGAGGTAGTACTTTATTTTTTTAAATATATTTTACTGATTTTTTACAGAGCTGAAGGGAGAGAGATAGTTAGAAACATCGATGAGAGAGAAACATTCATCAGCTGCCTCCTGTACACCCTCTACTGGGGATGTGCCTGCAGCTAAGGTACATGCCCTTGACCAGAATTGAACCTGGGACCCTTAAGTCCACAGGCCAATACTCTATCCACTGAGCTAAACCGGTTTTGGCAAGAGGTAGTACTTTAGATATCATAAAATATAGTCTTGTCTCTCAATTTTAAGAAACAATTCAGCAATTAGTGTTATTCTGAGCAGTGTGTAATTTTAAGCACAATAATTTCTTTGATTCCAGCCCAGAAAACCTGTTATTTAACATTGTGGATCATTTCAAACTAGTAATCCAAAAATCTGATATTTTATATTTCCATTTAACATCAATGCCGTGTTTTCATAATATAAACAAAATAATGACACCAGTAGAATTGCCCTTGTATTTCCAGGGAATACTGTCTAAGTTTTGGAACTACTGACAGCCTGAAGTAAAATGTTATATGACTGCTCTTCATTTTATAGCAACTTCTTTCCCTCTTCTCAGAAGGCTTAAATGTTTGAGAATATGCTGGAAGGAGAACCCGCAGTCATTTCAAATTCTTTGAACAATTCTGAAATATCATTTCCTATTAGGCAGTTGTGTGCATACTGACAGCCTTGCCCCTCATCTTCCCTGGAGATTAATTTATTTCCTGCA